ATAATAAACTTTGGTCTCTATGTATTTGCTTATTCTAGATATTTCTTTTTTTTATTGTTGTAGTTTAAGTGAAAGTTTACAATTCAAGTTAGTCTCTCATATAAAAATTTATACATACATTGTTATGTGACCCTAAATGCTCTCCTTATACTGTCACAGCACACTTCTCCTTTCCACCCCTGATTTCCTGTGTCCATTCAACCAGCTCCTGACCCTCTCTGCCTTCTCATCTCACCTCCAGATAGGAGCTACCCGTTTAGGCTCATGTATCTACTTGAGCTAAGAAGCACACTCTTCAAGACTTACACTTTGTGTCCCACAGTCCAGTCCAATCTTTGTCTGAAGAGTTGGCCTCGGGAATTGTTTTAGTTCTGGGTTGACAGAGAGTCTGGGGGCCATGCTTTCTGGGATTCCTCCAGTCTCAGACCATTAAGTCTGGTCTTTTTACTAGAATTTGAGTTCTGCAACCCACCTTTCTCCTGCTTCATCCAGGACATTCTGTTGTGTTTCCTGTCAGGGCGGTCATTGGTGGTAGCCAGGCACCATCTAGTTCTTCTGGTCTCAGGCTGATGAAGTCTCTGGTTTATGTGGCCCTTTCTGTCTCTTGGGCTAATATTTTCCTTGTGTCCTTGGTGTTCTTCATTCTCCTTTACTCCAGGTGGTTGGGACCAACTGATGCATCTTAGATGGCTGCTTGCTAGCTTTTAAGACCCCAGACCCCATTCACCAAAGTGGGATGCAGAACATTTTCTTAATAAACTTTGTTATGCCAATTTACCTAGAAGTCCCCTGAAAGCATGGTCCCCAGACCCCTGCCCCTGCTACTCTGCCCCTCGAAGTGTTTGATTGTGTTCAGGAAACTTCTTAGCTTTGGTTTAGTCCCGTTGCGCTGGCTTTAGATATTTCATAATAAGTGAAGTTATACAATATTTGTCCTTTTTTTTTCTGGCTTATTTCCTTCAACATAATGTTTTCAAGGTTCATCCATGTCGTAGTGTATATCAGGACTTCATTTCTCTTTATGGCTGAATAATATTCTTCTGTACGTATATACCATATTTTGTTTAACTATTCATCTGTTGATGGACACTTGGGCTGTTCCCACCTTTTGGCCATTATGTGCACGAACCTTTATGACTTTGTGTTGGAAGTCACACAGTTTGCCTTGCAGTGCATTCTATTCGTTGAAGTAGGCACAAGTCTGCCCAGATTCAACGAGAGGGGACATTGACCCCAGCTCTCGATGAGGGGAGTGTCAGAGACTTTGTGGTCATTTTTTTAATGACATTTTATTGTGGTTTGGGTGAAAGTTTACAGAGCAGATTAGTTTCTCATTCAACAGTTTAGACACATTTTGTTTCGTGGCATTAGTTGGGTTTCCCTCAATGTAACAGCTCTCTACCCCTTTCCTCCTTGAGTTCCCTGTTTTCATTCGCCCATCTTTCCTATCCCTTCCTGCCTTTTGGACTTTCCTTTGGGCAAATGCTGCCCTTTTGGTCTCATATGGTTGATTGTTGTGGGGAGCACGTTCCTCACAGGTGTTACTGTTCACTCTATAGGCCCGTCTATTGTTTGGCTGAAAGGTGATCTCCGGGAGTGGGTTCTGTTCCAGGTTTGAAGGGTGTCTAAGGGATGTAATCTCAGGGGTTCCACCAGTCTCTATCAGACCAGTAAGTCTGGTCTTTTTTATGAATTTGAATTTTGTTCTACATTTTTCTCCCATTCTGTCCAGGACCGCGGTGGTAGCTGGGCACCGTCCATTTCTTCTGGTCTCAGGCTGGTGGAGGCTGTGGTTCCTGTGGTCCATTTGTCCTTTGGGCTAATTGTTTCCTTGAGTCTTGGATTTTCTTCACTCTTCTTTGCCCAGGTGGGAAGAGACCAACAGTTGTATCTTAGATGGCTGCTTGCAAGCTTTTAAGATTGCCACTCACCAAAGTAGGACGTAGAACATTGTCTTTACGGACTATGTTGTGCTGATTGACCTAGATGTCCCCCAGATTCTGGTCCTAAGCCCTCAAGCCCAGAGATTCAGTCTCTCAGGGTATTTGGTTATGGCTAAGGAGTTTTCACAGCTCTGCCCCCTGTGTGCTCTGCTATATACATGGATGTCTTGCAGCACATACAAATATGTATGTAGAAATATCCTCTGACCAACCAATACGTGCTAGTGCGTGTACTCCCATACGTGTGGCCATTTTTTAAAAACTACAACATATACCAGGCATGAGCTGGAGTTGATTTGCAAACTATTTAACAATCAGCTTTGGCAAATCAGAATACATGCTGCTTACACTCTGGAGAAGGTCCTGGAGATCCTCCATCCACTGTACTAGGCATTAGCTCTTTAGTTTCTAAATTGTGGGGAGGTCTGGGAGTGGCTGGGACAGCGGTTGGGAGAGTCACTCAGGAAAATCTTGGGGGAAGTAGCTATTTAACAACTAGTATGAAAGTATTTCAATATTTTAACCACAGAAACAGCTGTACCATTGGTATAGTCCTGCATGAGGTTCGCAACCTTGGAACCTCCAGGTACCATTTTAGGCTGCCTACCTAAGTCTGAATGGTGCAAACGGTTAAGCACTCCACTACTAATGGAAAGGTTAGCAGTTCAAACCCATCCAGAGGCACCTCAGAAGAAAGGCCTGGTGACCTGCTTCTGAAAGGTCACAGCCTTGAAAAGCCTATGGAGCGTAGTTCTACTCTGCATGCATGGGGTTGCCATGAGACGGAATTGACTTGACAGGAACTGGAGTTTATCAAGTCCATCTTCCACCTTCTTCCTGGCTGGTAGGGCTTTAATTTTGTTTAGGCACTCACCCTCCTTGAGCATGTTCTCAGGGAAAGGGCCTCTCCCCAGACTCAGGGGTGAATCTTGATTAGTCTGAGAGTATCTTTATAATTCAATCTTCCTTGCCAGTGACTGGTTTAGGCTTGAGCACATTACTAAATTCTAGCCAATGAGACAAGCATGTAAATCAGATAGGGAGCTTCTGGGAAAGATTTTTCTTGTTTTTAACAACTGTGGAAAAAGAATCAAGGCCCCAGGCATTAAAGAGCAGTGGCAAACTATCTACACTGTGCCTTGCCCAATTTTGTGACCTGCAGAATCAGTGAGCATCATAAGATGTTTGTTGCTTTACTCCACTAAGTTTGGGGTGGCTTGTTATGACTCAGAGGTTGCTTGTTGTCTTTGTGTGATAGCTGGAGCCGTGGCTGCCATCTTGCAACCATGAGGTAGCTAGAGTAAGAATCAGCCAACAGAAATAGAAAAAAAGTCAGTTCCTGTATTAATTTACTAGGGTTCTTGTAATAAAGTACCACAAGTGGGTAGCTTAAAACTACAGAAATGTATTGTCTCACAGTCCTGAAGGCTAGAAGCCCAAATTCGGGGTGTCAGAGGGCCATGCTCTCTCTGAAAGCTCTAGGGGAAGATCCTTTCTTGTCTCTCCCAGCTTCTGGTAGCCCCAGGCATTCCTTGGCTTGCAGCTGCAGGATACTCCATCTCTGCCACCGTCTTCACATGGCCATCTTCCCTGTTTCTCTGTGTCTCTTCTTCTCTTTTATAAGGACGCTACTCATATTGGAGGTCCCTGAGCAGTGCAAACGGTTAAGTGCTTGGCTACTGTATTAGTTATCTAGTGCTGCTATAACAGAAATACCACAAATGGATGGCTTTAACAAACAGAGATTTATTCTCTCACAGTCTAGGAGGTAAGAAGTCAGAATTCAGGGCACCAGCTCCTGGGGAAGGCTTTCTCTCTCTGTTGGTTCCTTGTCATCAGTCTTCCCCTGGTCTAAGAGCTTCTCAGCGCAGGGATCCCAGGTCCAAAGGCTGCACTCCCCTCCCAGTGCTTCTCTCTTGGAGGCATGAAGTCCCTCTCCTCTCTGCTCAATTCCCTCTTTTATATCTCAGAAGAGATTGACTTAAAATACAACCTAATCCTGTAGATTGAGTCCTGCCTCATTAACATCATAGAGGTAGGATTTACAACACATCGGAAAATCACATCAGATGACAAAATGGAGGACAACCACACAATACTGGGAATCTTGGCCTAGCCAAGTTGACACACATTTTTGGGGGACACAGCTCAATCCATAACAGCTTCCAGCTGAAAGTTTGGGGTTCGGATCCACCCAGTGGTGACTCAGAAGAAAGGCCATGATCTGCTTCGGAAAAGTCACAGCCATGAAAACCCTAGGGGGTGCAGTTCTACTCTGCAACACATGGGGGCGCATGAGTCGGCATTGACTCAAGGGGGACTGGTTGTTGTTGTTGACTCATTGAATTAGGACTCACCCTATTCCAGTGTGAATTCATGTTAACTGCTAAGATCTTCAAAGACTCTATTTCCAAACAGAGTCAGATTCATAGGTACCAGAGGTTAGGACTTCAACATATCTTTTTGGGGAACACAGTTTAATCCAAAACAGTCCCCAATGATATTATGGAGTGAATAAATTAACCAGCCCTAGAACTGCCCTGCCAACTGACTTTCTGTTATGTGTGACAATAACCTTATTGTTTAGCCATTTGAGTTAGGTTTTCTGCTTACTTGCAGCCTAAAACATCCCAACTGGTAAAGGCCCCCATCTGTCGTAGGTACACATGGAAACAGATATGCAGGCCACACAGGGTGTACACATGAATGTGTACAGGTCTGCATCTTTAGTTAAACTCAGGCACGGGCAGACTTTCACCTAGATACACACAATCAGCCCCGAGTTTTACATGTACCACACAGACATCCAGTCCACACTCAGTCACAGAGCCACAATCACTCACAGGCACAAGGATTCTCCTGTCACAGAAGGGTTCAGTTCTTCACTGTTTATTTGTGCATATTGTACAAAAGTAGAAAAAAAAAAAACATTTCTAATGGGTCAGAGTCAGAGCTGCAGCCCCACAAATAGAGGGAGAGGAAATAAATTAAGGGAGGGTTGGGTTTGGTGCATAAATAAGGTCTGGGGTCTCAGACGGGCTGGGGTGGGTCCAGTTCTCAGGCACACTGGTCCCCGCTGGCGACACATTTCAGGTCCCGTGTGAGGAGGCGGAAGAGGTTGAACGTGACAGAGGCCTCGACGCAGCTTCGAGACTCCTGTTGGGGAGATGAGTCAGTGGTCTCCCACTGCCCGGCCTCGGCCTCCTCCCTTACCCAGGGCCCTGGCATCGGTTCCCTCCCTGTCACTCACCATCTTTGTGGCCTCCTGGAGCCTATGCAGCCAGCGGTGGAGGCGGCCCTGGGGTCTGGGGTCTGCTGTGGGCTGAGCCGGGACCTGTGGGCAGACAACAGGTGTGTGTGAGGCAGGGCCTGGGCAGAGGGGTAGGATCCCACAGGGCCAGAGCCCACAGAAGGGTCTTGGGTGCCCTGAGGACTCACACAGGCCTGCAGCTTGGAGTGGATGTGGCGCAGTGTGTGAAGGGGCTGTTCCAGGAAGGCCCCCAGGGCCGAGTCAGCCACAGATCCCAGGACTTTCAGCGTCAGGGCCAGCTCAGCCTCCAAGGCCACAGGGCGCTCCCACACCTGAGGAGAGGGAAGAAAGTATAGATGAGGGGGACAGGTGAGGGTATAGGTGAGTTGGGAAGGAGAGGAAGACAGGCAAGAGGACACAGGTAAGTGGGGACAGGTAGGGAATACAGGGGTGGAGGGCAGGTTATATGGGACAGGTGATGGGGATAGGTGATGAGGAGAGATGAGGGGGAGACTAGTGATGGGGACAGGTGATGAGTCAGGTGAGAGAGAGACAGAAGGGGAGGAAATATGAAGAAGGATGCAGATGGTGGGAATATAGGTGAGGCAGAAAGGTAAGCAAGGAGACAGATGAGGGGACAAGTAAAATGGGGGAAGATGGAAGGGAAATCATAAGGGTCACAGAGGTTGAAGGGACAGGGATGGGGTTAGGTGAGAGGAGAATAAGTTAGGGAGGTAGGTGAGAGAGACAGTGGGATGCATGGGTGGGAGGGGAGGATGAAGGAGGAGCTGGTGCTGGAAGAAGATAAATGAAAGAAAGATGATGAAGAGCATAGGTGGGAGTCGGTGGTGACAACAGGTGAGGGGGGAAGAATGGGTCAGTGTTGACAGGAGACAGGGAAAGCTGAGCAAGGCAAGGGGCTCAGGTGGGGACAGACTGGGGGCATATGGGAGACAAAAGGAGAGAGAGGTGGGAAAGAGGTAGGAGGTGAGAGGGACAGGTGAAGGAGATAGGGCAGTGGGGACGGGCAGGGAGGTGATAAAAGGGACCCAGGGGAGGGGCAGGGTCAAGGGAGCAGTTGAGGAGTGATGAGAACACAGGACAAGTTAGGAGAGATCAGAGAGGGAAAGGAGGCAAGCTAAAGAACGTAAAGGGCTCACTTAAGGAACCATGGCAAAGGAGCCAGATGAGGCCAAGGTGACTCACAGCTCACCTGCAGCTCCCTCAGGTCCCAGGTCCTGGGGAAGAGATGGGATCTGCAGCTCCAGCTCTTCGGCAAGAACGACTCTTCCTAGAGAGCAAGGGTGGAGGTTAGCCCACAGGAGTAGGGATGAAGGTTAGACCACTCTGGCAGGATTGGAGGATGGCTAGCAACGGGAGGTTAACCCACAAAGAGACAGAGACTCCTTCAGTGTGGAGGACACGGGTTAGCCCACTGCAGTAAAAAACAGATCACCCAGTGAAGAAAGGGTGGAGGTTTGCCCAGTGAAGGAAGGGTGGAGTTTAGCCATAGCTGGAAGACTGGAGGTTAACCCGCCCCAGGAGGGATGGAGGCTAGCCCATAGCAGAAGGGATAGAGGTTGGCCCACTCTAGAAGGGGTAGAGGTTAGTCCACAACAAGAGAGACTCACCAGTGCATCCTTGGCCTTTTTGAAGGCGTCCAGCTCCCGTGGAGACAGAGATTTGAACCTGTCAATGTGGCAGCCCCTCCTGGTTGTGGTGGGTTTGGAAGTGGGGACAGGGCTTGCTCTGGCCAAGCCCAGCACTACGGTCACCAGCACTAGGCCCCGTGTTGCAACCATGGCCAAATCGAAGCTGCCTCCCTGGCTGCATGGCTCTGCTTTTTAACTGGGCTGGATGGGAAATCCTGGCTGATGTATGTAAAGCGAAAAGGCAAAAGGAAATTGGAATCTCCGTGTAGAATAAAAAGGCACGAATGGGTGGGGCCAGGTGCTGAACCAGGTGGCTCACAGGCGTGGGTGGGGTCAGGTGAGACCGGAGTGAACTCACAGATGTAGGTGGGGCCAGGTGAGCCGAGAAAGAAAGAGAAACTGAACTTCAATCCCAGCAGGGAGCCTTGTTTCTGATAAGTCCCTTGTTAGTGGATATGCATCCCTTGCTGTTGTGAATCCTTTTGGAAGTAGATCTCCAGGACTGTCTTCTGAGGAGCCTCTGGGTGGGTTCAAATCACCAATCTTTCGGCTAGTAGTCCAACTGGAGACTCTCCAGTGGAAGGACTCCCAGGGGCAGCCTTCAGCTAGCTGACGTTGGGGAGCTGCTGACTGAGGCCGAGGCAGGTGGAGGGATGGTGTGCTGGCTTGAGGACTCTTACAGAGGGGCACGGATGTGTGGGGGCGAGGCTGCCTTAGCGGCAGGGACGGGGCTTCCCCCATTGGTTTAAGTACGTTCCGCAGACTAATTCTTTTAATCCTCCTAACATCCTCGTGAGGATTTATCTGTTTTTACAACCATCCCCATTTTACAGGTGAGGTATGTTAAATGAAAGTGGAATCCTGTGGTTGACAAAATGTCATTGGTGGTGGAGTAGACAACACCCCTAACACTTGTCTTTACCAAAACTTAACCCCAGCTTTCGGTTAAATGAGGCCACCCTCATTGACCAATGAGATCCCGACAGCGCTTCCACCCTCGCTGACCAATGAAATCCTGACAGCGTCTCCAGAGTAAATCGTATAAGCCAATCAGACACAAGCTTCTTCGCTTTCGCGCGTTTTTCAATAAAAAGCCGGTCACTGCTGCTACTCTGCCTGAGGACCTTTTCATGTGTGTTTTGGTGCTACCCGATTGCGAATCTTCTGCCTGAATAAACCTCATCTAATAGATTAATTTTATTATTGACTCAGTTTCTTTTGACAGGTAACTGAGACACAGGAAGGCAAAGTGGCTTCCTTAAGTTCCCACAGCTGGTTAATGGCGGAGCTGGGGTTTGTACAGAGTCCCATGCACTTATTTCCTATTCTATACTCTGCCAAGGTATAAGATGGGAGCCTCTAGGAGTAACAGGGACCCAAGTCTCCCCCCCCACCCCCCAGGGTAGCATGGAAGGGGTAGGGAATTCCTTATTCTCCGGAAGTGAGAGCACTTGTTGGAGACTGAGAAGGCGGTGAGGAGGGCTTCCAGAAGACGGGCTGTGAGCCTGGCTGATCTGTCATCATCACCCCCTGCAATAATAATAATTGTGTTGTTGTTATCAGGGGCCGTTGAGTCGGTTCGGACTCACAGCGACCCTATGTACAACAGAACAAAACCCTGCCCGGTCCTGCGCCATCCTCACAATCGTTGCTATGCTTGAGCCCATCGTTGCAGCCACTGTGTCAATCCATCTCCTTAAGCGTCTTCCTCTTTTTCACTGACCCTCTACCAAGCATGATGTCCTTCTCCAGGGACTGGTCGCTCCTATAACCTGCCTAAAGTACCTGAGAGGAGGTCTCATCATCCTCCCTCCCAAGGAGCATTCTAGCTGTACTTCTTTCAAGACAGATTTGCTCATTTTTCTGACAGTTCCTGGTATATTCAATATTCTTCACCAACACCATAATTCAAAGGCATCAATTCTTTTTCTGTCTTCCTTATTCATTGCCCAGCTTTTGCACGCACATGAGGCAATTGAAAATACCATGGCTTGGGTCAGGCGCACCTTAGTCCTCAAAGCAACATCTTTGCTTTTTAACAATTTTTTAAATAATTGTGTAGCAGGTAGGAAATTGCTCTGATGTGCAGGCACTTTGTATTTTCCATTCCTTTTTTTTTTTTCCCTTGGCCCTTAGGTGTAGGAAGTTATTAATCATACGCCTCAGATCATAACACAGTATCGCAACTGTTCCATGAAAGACCCTCTAAGATTTTTTTCCTCCACTCCCCGCTCTCACTCCTCCCCCTTATAGGCACCCACACTAATGCCCTTGATATATAGCCGAGGGACGTATCTTTAGCATGTGTGATTTTATGTATCTCCAATTTACATAAAAGGTACTGTGCTATAAATTTCATTTCTTTATTTTTCTTTCACCTTCACACTGTGTTTCTGAGCTCTCTCCATATGACTGCACGTATGTCGTGTTTGTGCTTTTTAACTGTACCCTTGTATTCCATGGTGTGCACCCGGCACTTTTACTTATCTATTCCCCAAGTGATGGACACTTAGGTTTTCTCCAGCTCCCCACTGCCATAATGCTCACACATGACCTCTCTGCAAGAGGTTTTCTAAGATATACTGTCACACGCCTCTTGATGATTGTGGTGGTTAAGTTTATGTGTCAACTCGGCTAGGGTCTGGTGCCCAGCTGTTTGGTCAAACACTGGTCTAGATGCTGCTATGAAGGTACTTAGATACGATTAACGTTTATTATCAGTTAACTATAAGTAAAGCAGATTACCCTCCCTAATGTGGGTGGGCCTTGCCCAATCAGTTGAAGGCCTTAAGAGAAAAAAAACTGAGATTTCTGGAAGAAAGAGGGAATTCTGCCTTGAGACTGTAACATAGATATTCTGCTGAGTTTCCAGCCGACCGCCTGCCCTATGGAGTTTGGACTTGCCAGCCGCCACAATCTCGTGAGCAATTCTTTAAAGCCTCTCTTTGTCTCTAAATCTCTTTCCAATTGGTTCTGTTTCTCTGGAGAACCAAGAGGAATACAGAGACCCACACTGTATCCCCTCAGCCCACTTCTGTGCTCACCTGCAGATGTGGTGGGCTATTCCCCTATGCTCTGACAGCGTCCCTTCTCATGTACCCATTTGTATCTTTCTGCTTCTCTCTCTGAGGTCTTTCTCCTGTTTGCATGCAGAAGAGACTGGAAATGCCAGGATTTACTTCCCCCAGGGATGATCCTCAATCAGTGAGGGTCCTGAGCCAGTGAATGAATACTTCAGCCTCCCTTTCTCTGAGTGAGTCAATTCTGAGGTGCATTCTACAAAATTCTGACTACTGCAGAGGGTCCCCAGTACAAAGGAGCCCTAGGTGCTCACAGAAGTAATCCTTCTGGGGCCAGGACTGGAGTGAGGCAAGCCAAGTGACTAGGGTGCAAAATTTAAGGAGGCACTCACTCTCAGATTAAGATAAGTGCAGACCCAGTGAGTGAGTGCCTCCTTAAATTTTGCACTTGGTACCTCACCCCAGTCCAGATCATGCATCTATTGTTTTTTTTTTTTTTCCTCTTGTAGTCTCACTTCCTTCACTCATTTATGCTCCCAGACAAGTCACTATATCCTTGGCTGGTGCAGTGGTTAAGAGCTACGACTGCTCACCAAAAGGTCAACAGTATGAAACCAGCCTATAGGGTCTCTATGAGTCGGAATCAACTAGATGGTAATGGGTTTGGTTTGGTTTTTTGGATCCTTGGCTCAGAAGCCCTGGTGGCACAGTGGTTAAGCGCTCCACTGTTAACTGATAGGTCAGTGGTTTGAATCCACCAACTGCTCCGCGGGAGAAAGATGTGGCAGTCTGCTCCTGTAAAGATTTACAGCCTTGGAAACCTTATGGGCAAGTTCTACTCTGTCCTACAGGGTCACTATGAGTCAGAATCAACTCGACAGCAATGGTTTGGGTTATTCTTAGCTCAAGGTCTGCTTTTGGGAAAACCCAAACTAAGACATATACTAAGGAGTAAGATTGCTAGTCACAGGGAGTGCCCATATTTACATTGTCTAATCGGCAATTTTCAATAGAATTTTCTGTATCTGTGCTATCCAATATGATAGCTGTTAGCCACATGGGGATGCTGAGCACTTAAAATTTGGCTAGTGCAACAGAGGAATTAAATTTTAATTTTATTTAAGATTAAATAGTCACATGTGGCAAATTTGCGGCTGTTTCTTCTCATTTTGAGTTGTGCCACATCAGCAAATGAAGGTCCCGAAGGCTTGACTCCATCCACATCATTAAGGTCAACTCTACTTTGAGGAGGCAGCTGTTCCCCAGTCATATTTTGAGTGCCTTCTAACCTGAGGGGTTCATCTTCCAGCACTATACCAGACGATGTTCTGCTGCTCTTCACAGGTTTTCACTGGCCAGTTTTTTCATAAGTAGACTGCCAGGTCCTTCTTCCTAGTCTGTCTTAGTCTGGAAGCTCAGCTGAAACCTGTCCACCAAGGGCAACCCTACTGATATTTGAAATACCAGTGGCAAAGCTTCCAGTATCACAGCAACACACAAGCCACCACAGTACAACAAACTGACAGACATGTGGTGGCTAGTCGCTATCATAATGGACAGTGCAGTCCTAAATACTCATATATTGCCCTCCCAAGTAGCTGCAACTGCTTCCCTCCCTTTGCAAGTGCTTGAGAGTTCCTATATTCCCGCAACAGTACGACTTCCTCAACACCTGGGTCTGATTTAGATGATGAGATCCTGGACCTTGAGTCTGAGCCTGTTGTATAATAGACGAGACATTTGATGTCGTGAGAGGAGATGAGTGTGTTTTTGAGGTAGACGGAATGTAAATAATTTGTGGCCAGAGGGCAGACTGTGGCAGTTACAACACATGTATTAAAATTCCTTGACCGCCCTCCCATAGAAAAGTGGTTCTGTCCCCTTCCCTTAAATCTGGTCTGGCCTTAGTGACTCATGTGTAACCACAGGTACTGTGTGACTTCCAAGGCTAAGTCAGAAAAGGTCAGGCAGCTTCTGCTTGCTCTCTTGAGATTCTCACTCTGGGGGAGGCCAGCTGCCGTGTGAGAAGCCCATCCTGAGACCTTCACGCTCCCATTCCCACTTGGTATCAACTGTCAGCCATGTGAGAGACCGTTTTGGATGTCCAGCTCAGCTTTCAGATCCCCGAAA